GTGCCGCTGCCACCCAATGCCGTATGCCGTTTCTTTGACTCAGTATTTTTACGACAGATTTTTTTTTTGTTTCCTGCTTTCTTTTTTGCAACACAAAAATTTTTTCTCACACTTTGCCCAAGCGTTAAGCGTTTATATGGGCACACACAATACCGTTAGCGTCTCACTTCGAGACTCGCACTCAGACTCCGTTATTATTGCGGACTCCGACGCCGTTACCGTTACCCGTCACTTTTGCCATTACACTACCAAAACCAAAGTAAGTGTTCCGCATTGTGCCGTGTGTTCCTCCTTTTGAGCGCCGCCGAGGCGCTGCCGACTCGACTCTACACCACTGCCGTTAATAAAATATATATTTTTCCTTATAACCACACACACACACACACACACACATATGTATATATACCAACACGAACACTAATACTAATGCAATGTTAAGTGCATACACGCACACATACACTAGCAAGTGTGGCGAGTAAAAAAATGGCGTCTATTCGACTACCTATGGAAAATCCGTTTGTGGCACACGCTTTTGCTCTTAACGCTTTTGCTTAGCTTTTCTGTTGCTACAGCCAGCTGCTGGCTGTTGGCCGCCACAACACACACTGTCATAGCAAAAATATGGGCAACATAACGTCGTCACAAGCGCCAGTCGGCCAGGCTGTGTAGTCTGTAGTCGGCGGCACTCACTCACGCGCACCCGATGAGAATGAGGACGAGCACAAGTTTGGGCGTATTGTCGAGCAAGAACGCAGTGTTGACCGCCCAACGCCCACACACACACACACACACGCACGTACGCGACGCTGCTGACTGCGTAAAGTTTTGCTTCGGCTTGTTGCACGTTGTTGTTGTATTGTGTTGTTGCTCTAACTGCTGTTAGACGTCGGCTGCTGTTGCTGTAGCCAGCCGTCCCGTTATCCCGAGTGTTGTCATCAAATGCCAATTGAATAATAATTGCGATTGTCGCAGGGTAACGGTAAGTTTGTAACGGTTTCACTGCCTGCCTGCAATGGATGGCGCTCACTCTCTCTCTGTTTTAAGGCGCTCTCACATGCTCTCGCATACGTTTGACTGGGCGTAGGGCGCAAACGCCTAATACACTAGTGGGCCAATAGACAAAAACACGCACACACACACACACGCATATACGTAAACAGAAACACACACACATATAGTACATACATGTATAGACATGCATAGCTCAGCCCCTAGCAGCTTACTTGTATACCGCGCTCAAACCTTGTGGCGTCACCTACAATACACCCCCAGCCTCTGCTGCAAAAGCTCGCCAGCCTTTTACCGTTAAATTCGTATTTAGTTGGCAACGCGTCTCCACCGCCCCGCACACCGACAAGTGTTCGTTAAGTGTGGCAAACACCATGGTTGAATTGTACACTTCTAAATGTGTATGTGTGTAAATATAAAATGTATGTATGTGTGTGTGCGTGTGTGTCTCTGTCCAGTTGAGAGAGTGAGCGCCAGTTTCTAGGTTTTGCCAGCCGCTTTCTCAACCCCAAACTGTCTGCGCGCAATTTTCACAAACACACAGGCACACGCACATACATGTAATAATACCGTTACATATGCCTGGTTGCCTTGCATTTACTTGTGTTGCCACCGGGTGCTTGCAGCAACAAGGCCAACAATAATAGTCAAAACAATAACAAATGCCAGAGAATTTATTTTTGTGCATTTAACAAATCGATAAATAATTTTTAATTGTTCCGTTGCATTAGTATGCACTTATACATATGTACATACACACTTATAAGCATAGGTACATATATAGAAATGCCAGAGGTAGCAATCCGTTCTGCCTGACAAGTTTTCCATGGTTTGGCGAAAGCTTGTTTTGGTGATTATTATTAAGGAAATTGGTGAAATTAATTTTCTCGATAAAGTTCTAATTTTTTATTTTAATGGTTGGACTCGAGTTGTTCGGTTGTCTTTTCCCCTTTAGTTTGGTAAGGTTCAGATAAGTGGTCATCGAGGTCATCCAACGGTAGGCCAAGGAAACGTCTGGTTTAGACGTAGGCGGACCATAATTAGAAGGGTGTCAGAAGTGTGGGGTTAACTGGACATGCAAAGAGGTGGTTAGAGTCATTCGGGGACTCGTTGCATGCTGGATATATGTTTGATATGTCGGGTCGATTCTGGATAAATAGGAGTTGAACCTGCCATAGTATTCAGAACGAAGGTGCTTTCGATTATCGCGGCAAACTCGAGCTCTTCGTCTACAATGGATGGTGATTTGACTCCAAATACGCCATTCGCTGAGAGAGAGTTCGTGAAGGTATGGCTACACTGTGAATGGTAGTCAGTGCGTGTCTAAAGTTAGTTGCGTCCGAAGTCTGGTCGGCGTATTGTCTTATATCGTCGACGTAGTTGAGAAATGACCTCTTGATGCTCCCAGGAGGATTTCTACGAAAAGCCCGCAGCAGAATTTGCTTAAAGAAGCAGTGCGGGTCTCACTCTTTAGATGAGAAGACATCAACAGGCATGTCCGGAGTGCAGTGTTCTGACATATCTGCAGCTTCCTCGTCTGCGTTTCACAGGACCGGCCGGCCGATTGCCKTTTATGTTGCTAACAACGTTTMTTTGAAGTGAGAAARGTGGGAGAKATAGCCRYTTACTGTTGAGTACATGCTACCGATTCCATTGTCCGATGTAGAAGCTAAASAGTAACGGGWAGAGGACACCATCCTGCGGAATTCCCTCATTAATTCCTTTCAATTTAGAGTTTTTRCYTYGAAACAGTACTAGTGATTGTCGACCGCTCAGGTAGTTCATAGTCCAACTCTTCAGCTCCGGTGGAAGCGTAGATTTTTCGATGTCCTGCTGACCGCCCACTTAGTATTGAAGCTGCGTGTTCTAGGTGTCGGTTTTGAACAATTTCTTTGGAGATTACACCATTGCCTTATGGAATAATCCAAATTTCTTGCAGATACCAAGTCAATTGAAAAACCTCTGGGCTAAAATAGTAAAACACATTTTTTTGACAAAATTCATTTTTTTTCTATTCAGTATAGTTGCTGCGTTCCAGTGTATAATTAGTGATTATAACGGCCCTCCAACTTTTCAATCCCACTTTTGTAGTACGGTTGTGTTCTTTGTTTCAAAAGACAAAAAGACGCCACAGTTTTGGCGATCACCTCATCATTCGACGAAAATTTCTTCGTAGCGAGTATTCTTAGGAATTCTGAAAACAGGAAATAATCGCTGGGGCCAGATCTGGAGAATACAGCGGATGCGGAAGCAATAGGAAGCCTATTTAATGGATTCTTGCCATCGTTTTCATTGATCTGTGACACGGCACTGTTTTTTTTACTTCAAATGCGGCCGTTTTTTGGCAATTTCGTCCTTCAAATGGTTCAATAATGCTTTGTAATAGTCGCTCTGGCTGGTCCTTCAAGGTAGTCAATACAATTTAATCCGTGCGCATTCCGAAGTAAAGACACTTTGTAAAGGGTTCATGGTGTTCAGACCACTCGGATGAGTGTCAATTGGACTTCGGAGTGAAGTGATGGAGCCATGTTTCATCCATTGTCACATATTGATTCAAAACTTCGAGTTTATTACGCTTGAACTACTCCAAACACTGTTCCGAATTATCAAATTGTAGTTGTCTTTGAATAGAGCTTTCTTGTATCCAAATATTCGCTCAGTTTAGACACTTAAAAGTCTGCTATGTCGAACAACTTCACTTTGTAGGCATCCAAAATTATTTTGAAGACTTTTTTGTTGTTGTTGTCGGCAACAACCTCTTTTGGGCATCCACTGCATTCATGCACTTCGTGCTCATTTCGCCTCTTTTTAAACTTAACAAACCATTTCTCATCGGTTAATTTCCCGCAAAGTCCGGTCCTATAAAGGGGGGTACATAACTACAAGTTATAATAAAATGCAAAACTGATCTTCAGTCTCAAGATTTTGTGGTCAGTTTTCTTGAATGACTGAGCTTTGCCATCAAAGAAAGTTTATTAACTTTTCTCTTCTTGACGATGAAAGCAGGACTAAGCGCATTAGGTCATCGCAGAAAGTTGCCTCCAACAGAGCCTGTTTTTCTGCTGTGCTCTATTCTATCAGTAGCAGTCTATCAGTAATGCGTAGTTAACGATTAGAAGTAAGCATTTTTTTCTCCCCGCTGCTACTGGCAATAATACACTTAGTATCGTTTATTTGGCGCCTTCAAAGTATGGTATATATGTTGGCTATAAGTGACTTTATTTCAAGTTATATTCAGAGTTTAGTATTATAGGTTCAGCTTTTCAAGGCGTACATATACAAAAAATTTTAACTAATGGACCATTAAAATGCACTGAACAACTGTTCCCAACCATGATTATAAATAATTAAGTGATTTTGCGCCATCTATGAACGATGTAGCAAGCAAAAGATAACCTATATGGGGCGACAGCGCCATCTAGCGAGTTCAAGCAAGGATGCTCTTTGGCGAATACTTTGATGACATTACGTGGCGCCATCTAGTCACTGTATGTGTGGTGTGGTACTAATTCACCGTTAAAGAAAGCGACATCTATATGCAACTAGGTAGTATTGAGTTTTCTCCAGCGAACAGTGTTAGAAATTGCTATAATATCTGTTTATACCCCTGAAAGGGTGTTTTAAGTTTCCCGCGAAGTTAAGGAACACCTAGGAGAAAACGTCCGAGTCCCTTGAAATGATCGTCGTTACCAGTTGAGTCGATTTAGCCATCTCCCTCTGCCTGTTCGTCTGTATATACTCGAAGTAGTCTCTCAGATGCTCAGATGAAGTTTTTCACACATCTTTTTCTCCCCAAGAAACTGCTTATGAGGCGAGACAATCGGACCACTATAGAATTTTTTTTATTTGTCAAGGTTTTAGCATTCCCGCAAAATTCGATAAAGGATCTGCAAAACAAATTTTCAGAACGGATATATGTATATATTTTCGATGACAGTTCTTGCCCTCATTTAAACTAGCGGTTTGGCCGAGCTCTAGTGTCTGCTTGCAACTACTGTAATATGGACTTCTTTTAATGTACGTTGTTGTAGAAAACTTTGCTTTCAAATTGGTCTCAAATAAATCCGGTCCAATGTGGACAGTCGCTACTATCACAGTCCAAGACCGTTGTACGTGATTGAATGATTCAATAGCACTGAGTCCTTATTGGCAGTCTCTATGTATGAACTGTTTTTATTCGAGCGTGATTTCAAAAATTTTTGTACTAAGAATTATGCTTAAAATAACTGTAAACACGGACGTCAGTGCCAGCTTCGTGGCTGTGTTGCAGACTAAATAGTTAACATAAATGAGAAACTGCGCTGCATTGGGCAACTCGCAAGCTGGATTCGTGCAGGACAAATCATTGCTGCTGATAAATTGTTGGGCCTGCACGGAAACATAAAGTGGCGGACAATCCTCGATTTGCGTGTAACCCGCACAGAGTTCGCTCAAGTCCAGCGAGTAACCATTGGTAGCAGCTGTCTGGCCACAACCCTGTTCCGGCTGATCCGCACCATCCTTACGATATGGCAAAGGGATCGTACGCGAACTGCAGACAATAAACGAAACCGGACTTTGAGGCGTGATGCGTAGATAACGCAAACTCGTCGAACCGAAGAAATAATTCGGCATAATGCGGTAGAAATTGATGGCACCAGCACGTACATATTGCACCATTTCATTGGCACCGGCCGTATTGGCGTACATACCGGCGCCACAACGTGGATTAACTAAGCGCCGTGGAACTGTAGGGAAGACGGAGAGTTATTGTACATAAAAATTAATGAATGCCTGAAGATCACTGACTTTCACGTATGCGTCGCACAACCGGTGTGCCTGCCGTCCAAACGCCGTATTCCTCGCCGAGTGGAAAGATGTCCGCATGAGCATTGGGCACCAGATCTTCGAAACGTATTAACGCACCACCGCCATAGTAGAGAAAATGTAGATCGGGCACTGAGTAGTTGAGTTTTTGTAGGAAGTTTAACGCATAGTTCATATCCCAGTCGGGCACATAGGCTATTGGGCTGGGAATGAGCAATGCGATCAGCGAACGCCCACCCAAAGAAGAGGTATTCCGATCGACATCCATAATATTGCGCGCTAAATCGGCGGCGGTATTGAGTATCTGTGGTAGGCTGAAACCAGGTTTGTCTGTAAGGATACAAAAGTTATGCTTTTGGTACTTTGTTGGAGTAAGAGATTTGCTACTTACACCATGAATGCGATGTAATATTCCAATTCTCGTAGACCTCTGGCATATAATGCGTGGTGTTGACCATTATTGTAGCATCCGCGGCGGAGAGTATTGTGACAGCGCTGGCGTAGGGATTTATATTCAGCCGCTGGAGGACGAAGCTGAGAATGAAGGTTTTGAGAGTTAATTTGTGCTAATTTTTTTGTGGTTATGTCAAAAGTAAAGATGGAAGGCAATGTGATAGTAGGTTTCATATACACCTATAGTTAGTTAGTATATCATAAAGGTCGTTCAAGATCATCGGTTCTGGAAATGAACTCACAAAAACGGACACTCGAGTCGAGGATTACCCTGAAACCATCATCGGACCATATTTTCAGCGGAAAATGTTACATCAATTAGTCCACAGAAAAAGTCTTGATAAAGGTCTTTCCATAACGGCATCAACGAGCCGGAACGACTTTCTGTCACACTGTGAATAAAATCACACCATTTCGTCACACTCTGAACGTGTTCAAAAGAACCATTCACTATTAAAATATTACACTATCTCAAATACGAGGTCTAACCCAGAAAACTTCGGTATACTAACGAGCTCAAGCCCAACATTCGTGCCGAAATCATCAGTATACCTCCAGAGATTTTGAAAGAATTAATAGAGAACGCATTGGAATAATCTTTTGGACCGAAGCTACTATATTAAATAAAAAGTTCTTTAGTATCAAAAGCACTTGGGTTTCTCAAAAATACTCTACCTTTAGCAAAACCCTATATATGAAGTACAGGAAAGTAAGGCATTTCTAATAGTACTCTCTCTTTTTTATCTAAATAACTTAAATTAGTTGAATTTTCGTACTTAACATAGTCCGCGACGAAATAATACGGCCACGTGGTATCCAAAAATACAAATATATTCGTCATAATTGTAGTCATATTGTGTATACCCTGGCTCTCCTCAGCGGCATAGCAGTCTGAGTACATCCAAGCTGTGGAATTTAAAAAAGGATTTAGCATATTAATAATATAATATTAATAAGGTAAGAACTAAGAAGGTTACATTGGGTTAAGAGGTTGCTTCTAACAGCGAACTCACTTAGACCGCTTAGAACGGCGGTCCGTTGTGTTACCTAAAACTCCTATATAATAGAACCGCATCAAATCAATTTGATCCTATCAAAACTTTGTTGTGACGGCTAATCTCAGTTTCGGCTATGTCTCCAGGTTCGTCGAAGGTAGGACTGTCTATATTTTTTGTCCTCAAGCTAGCAAATGCTTCACAACTCATGTCTTTGGAAGGTTAAGTTGACTTTGGTTACTAAATCACGTCGCGTTTTGACTTCTGCAATGAAATTTCTAACCTCTTTGAGCTGTCGTCGTTTCTCTCAAATTTATATATCGCTTTTCAAAAGTATGCCTCAGTAAGTAATCGTTCGAAGGCGGTAAAAACATTTCTTTTGAGATTAGGTCTAAATACAAATCTGGATTTCAACCTGGTGCTGCCCACCCATAAAAATGATGCGAAGTTGCCAGTTAGGCTGTTATATAAATTAATTCTAGTTTCTACTACTTAAAGGAAAGCAAAGAAGGAATTAAGGTTGACTCTTTTCAACAATGATATTGAAAATTATCTAAACATATTATAAAAGTTTAACTAACGTTCGTAAATAGAGTGGCTGTCTGACGTCGCACCTTAACCTTAAGGATGTCCTTTGTGAAACCAGCGGTAATAAAATCTTCTCACTTTATTTTTTCCTCTCTGAACCACTGCTGAAACTCATCAGTAAAAAAAAAAGTTTTATCTGTGCAACCGCCGACGCATCGTCAAAAAATTCTCGATCAATAGTTTCGATTATCTTTTTATACAAAGAGAGAGTATATTTTATAGTCCTCTCGTCTTTTACCTCCTTATTGTTTCTGCAATAGACAGTTTATGATATTCCTAGTCTAACATATTGGCATGACTACCAATTAGGGAGTGACCGCTTACTAATGTGCCTATGTCATTCCTTTTTAATTTTAATAGCCGCCATGTGCGGTGCATACTCCTTTGAGTACTTTTGTCGGCTTGTTGAGTCAGATAGGGATATACTTCACGCAGCTCAACTATTTTTATGACATGTTTGTGCATTAAATATCGGCAAGTAGCCAGTGACATACAAATTCCGTTCTTTTTTTGGAAATTGGAATCTAATTACAATGTACCGCATTTGCTTCACAGTTAACAGGAATATCAGCATGTCTTGAAATTTATTACAGGTTTAGGGTGAAAATTGGTAGAATCTTAGTTCCACTAAGAGATCAAGGCATTTTTTCATTATCTTTAATGAAACCTTAACTGACTTTAGTGATTTCAAAGCTACTTGGCAATCTGTATATACGAATAGGCAATATTGGGGACCGAATTTAGGTTCAGGTCTGTAAGATTAATTGTAATTCTATGATATTGGGAAGACACGAGAACTTATTTGTTTCTTGATGTATGGAACGACTTGGCACATTTTACGTCGATTTTGAATTGAAAGCGTACAAAATACATTTTGTGCCAGAACTGAAGCTACTCGGCATTCGTTTTATTGGCCTTGTTACACGTAACGAGTACAGTGGCGAGACAGTATTCTGGCCGAGTATGATACTCGGTCGAGAGAGTTGCGTTGGCGAGTAGAGGTTTACACGTATTTTGTTCATCTAGTTAGACAGTGAAGTTTTTCAAAGTTTTATTTACAATGTTTGGTAGAAAAAGACACCTTAAAAGAGTTTTTAATGAAGTTCTACCGCATCTCATAAAAGAGTATTTGCCATTTCAATTGTTTCACAATTCACAATTCAAAATTCAATTGAAACTAAATAAACAACATAAAAATCGACCGAGTGGCGAGTGAAGACCGAACGCGTGTTCACATGCAACGAGCGAGTCAGTGATTTGCTCAGAAGGGGCAAAAGAGTGAAGAAAAAAGCAGCACTCGGCCTAGTAAACAAAATGTGATTCTAGTGACTCTCTCGCCACTATACTCGCCCACTGACTCGGTTCATTACTCGCCTTACTGTTTAAACGAAACGAGCACTCGGCCGAGTCACTGTCTCGCCGCTTTACTCGTTACGTGTGATCAAGGCATATGGGCTCTTGAAAACTTGCGAGAAGATCTGATGTTTTCGAGTCAAATTTTGTTTAGCGATGAAGTTCATTTCTGGTTCAATAGACTGTAAACAATCAAAATTGCTACATTTGAGACAAAGCGCAATCTGAAGAGATTCAAGAGCTGCCATTTCATTCAGAAAAAGCCACAACTTGGTTTGGTTCGTGGTGAGTAGATAATTTTTCGTATTGGCTCCGTCAATTGGCCACCCTTAATAAGATTAAGAATGTCCATGGTATTGGGTAGAAACGGTAACTTATTAAGTACCTTAATTATCTTTATAAGGAGGACTCTTTCAGTCCACGAGTTGACTTCGGCACCACATGCTTACAGAAAAAGTCTATTGGCAACAAATGTAAAATGATGTTAAGTGCTTCATTTGGCGTTGTTCTGAGAGCTCTACTGATTCATTTCTTTCCCAATATTAGTCACTGTACACGAATGTCATATATCATAACCGCTGTGTAGATCCAATGAGTTACCGAAAGCATTAAATCCAATTTGGGACCCATCATTCTTTTTGAGGTGTAGGGTGCTGTAGCTGCTTTCTTTACTCTGTCCTTTAAGTTTAATTGCCTGTCTAAAATTAGTTGCAAGTAGCTTTCTCTATCTCCTACAGACTGGTGTCATTTAATAATGATGGTGTAGATTAGATTAGAGAGTAAAGTAAATGAGGATTGCTCGATCTAACGGCTATTGTGCCCTCTCTTAAGTCAATTAGCAGGTGTTCTGGAGTTACAGACTACAAGTCGCAGAACCGGCAATTCGCACAAGAAGCTAGGCCCATGTTATATTGTATAAGTGCTACTTGAGCTTACAATGGTGTTCTAACTTCGAGAGTATTGTGCTTCCTAGTGAACAATACAAGCTCTCTATCGTTTGCTTTAAAGTTCGGATTAATAACACTAGAATATTTTTTTTTCTGCTGATTTACGTTTATGGCATTCGTACTTTATTCGTAATACGATTAAACAATAAATTATAGTGAAATGTAAATCAACAATATGTATGTATATATAGTATTATATGATAGAAATAGAAACTGATGAACTTAGCCGCCTATGTAGAGCATATACTATTCATTATTCTTATTTGTGTACTATGGAGGATCACGTGACGTGACCTTTTTGCATGCTGATTGAACTTAAAATTGTATTTTATTACTGTACTAAGTACATTGGCAACACTGGTAAACCAAAATATGAAAAAACGTATGTATGTGTGTAGAAAAAAACTAAACAAATAAGCCGATCGCGCAACGATGCTACTGCAAGGCCTCACGCAGGATGTAAGCCAGCGCAATCGTAACGAAACTGGCAAAGAGACCGGCCACGCCACTATAGCAACCCAAATTCGTCACCGAAATGACGTAACGCGCCTGATTTGGTGTTTGACAAGCATTGTCCGTGCAAGACACTGTCGTCTGTATGAATGTGGGTGCCTGCACGGAGATATACAGCGGCGGGCACTGACTAATGTAACTGTAACCGTTGCAAGCATTGGACAGATCATAGGAGAAGCCATTGCCGATTGCTCCGCAAGTGATGTCGTTTGAACCGCCATTGGCATTGGTGGCATTGCTTTGGGTTGGTAATGGAACGGTGCGTGAGGTGCATATGATGAACTGAATGCCGCTGGTCGATTGTATGGCTACATTGCGATTGCTGCCGGCGCCGTAGAAGTAGTTTGGTACCATGCGATAGAAGTTCGTGCCATTCAGATTGAGATACTGTGCCAATTGATCGGTGCCCCACGAGGGCGTTATCCAGTTGGAGCCGCAACGTGGATTGATGATACGACGCGGAACTGCAACAGGAGGCGAATAAAGGAAAATAATACGAATGTCAGTTGGAATTAAGCCAGTGAGTGAAATGAGGAGCGCAGTCCCCCAAACTTACTTTGTACGATACGCGACACGACCGGTCCGGACGAAACGGACGGCGTACTGCCCGTATTCAGCGTGAACAAATCTTGACTGGGATTGCGTACGAATGTTGCAAAGCGGCTGATCTGACCGCTGGTGTAGTAAATGAAACGTAGATCGGGTACTTGTTCGTAAATGTATTGCAATTGTGTGATGGCATAAGAGGAATCGCTGGAGCTCACTTGTACGGTGCTATAGGGTAGCATTAAAGCGATTAGCGAGCGTCCGCCCACTGAGGAGTTGGTTTGTTCGGCACTCATGTAGGCTTGGGTCAAGTTTTGTATGGTTTGCAAGACGTTAGGCAAATTAAAGCCGGCGGTATCTACAGCGCATAGAGCGCGGTGAAGAGGAGAGAAAAATTTATTTATTTTTGTTTTGGTATTAGCAAGAGATTAGTGTATTGAAACGAACGAAAGCGAACTCACATTGTGCTTGCAGGGTCACATTCCAGCCTTGAAAAATGTCGGGTAGATAATTGGTGGTATTGACAATAACCGAACCATCGTAAGCAGCTAATAAGGTGACCGAACTGGCATAGGGATTTATGTTGAGACGTTGTAGTATGTAACTGTAAAATGCATGGCGAGTTAGTTTGTGTGTCTGTGAGAGAGATTATATGCAAAATGCTGTTTCTGAAACACTCACACAAGATAGTCAACAATACTTCTGTATTGCCAGGTTGTATCCAAGAACACATAGATATTGGTCATGGGTGTTATCATATTGGTAACGCTATTGGCGCTGCTGCTAACGGTACAGGTAACGTCGTTAAGACTATTCGCTGAAATGAGAGAGAAAAGAGTGTGATGAGTTAGACGAGAGTTAGCTGTAAGCTAATATATTTTAATGAAAAAGTTGAAAAACTGAGATGATGAATTCGATTAGAAGGTATCAGCATTATGAGCAAACCTGTAAATGCGTAGGGAGTTATGTTTGTTGTAAGAAAATATGAAATCGCGAACGCAAGAACGGGCGTACCTCACGTAACAGCCGTGGATAGATATAGAACACAGGTGCATGGCTGCGAAGATCGTTGTCAGTGAAGCTGGGAGCATAAAGAAGTTCACACTGGAGCATTCTGAAATTCTCTGATTCTTCGATCTTATCACGGAAATTTGTCCTATTTCTGTTAGCTCTCTCATACGTACTGAGAGAACTAATGATGGAGAAAGCTGCTGTTGAAGAGGCGCAGTCAACTATTTAAAGAATGGTTTGAAACTCATAAAGAAGGTTGAACATATATTTCATATGTCGGGGTCTATTCTGGACAAGTAGGAGTTTAACCTGCTACAGTATCCAGCACGAAGCCGCACAAGGGTCACTCTCGTTTCTGGTGACAACTCGAGCTCTTCGTTTACAATGGTTTGGCTCCAAGTATGGCATGTGCTAAGAGGGAGTCGGTGAAGGTGTTAATGGCTCCACTGTGAATGGCGGTTAGTGTTTGTTGGAAGTTAGTCGTGTCCGAAGTCTGGTCGTATTATTTGATGTCGTCGACGTAGTTGAGGAATGACGTGTTAGTGCTCCTAGGAGGCGGTTGCGCTCCAAGTAGCTCCACGGTTGATTTCTTCGGAAGCACCTCAGTAGGAACTACTTGGAGAGGAGTTCATTATACTCCTTAACTTGGAGCATATGGGCCTCACTAAGCAGGTGTTCGATGGGAGGGATCAAGAGGTATCCCTTTGTAGCTCAGATTTCTGTGTTCTGACAAGTTTGGAGCTTTATCGTCTGCGTTTCACTGCATCGAGGCGATCATATTGGTGTGGCGTAGTTATAACCGGCTGGCCGATTATCTTGTATGCTGCCAACAAAGTTTCTTTGTCTTTTCCACATGTGTTGCCGGCTAGCGACTTGAGGATTTAGTTGCGGCTCTGAACTTTGGCGA